GTATAAAAATCTTGTCGCACTTATTCTATAAAAAAAAAACCTGTCGATTCCGAATTCATAGTTCAATATCCATAACAATATTTAACGAATCATTATAGTTGCATTTTAAAAAAAAAAATATTTTTGTTCTTCGATAAATATAAAAATGTTACCATAATCTAGCGCATCTTATATCTTAAAGCAATCGTATACTGTATATAGGCCCCAATAGTCATACAATACCAGTTAGACTCTGAGCGACTGTCATAAAAGAGGTAGATGATATCAAAGACTGCTGCCGATTTTTTTTTCTCTGGGAACTTAAAGGCCTATTCCAGCTACACTGAATAGTAGGTGATCTCATGGGGTTCAGCCTGAGAGGATGTGCTAACACTGACCCTAGCAAGAGCAGTTCTTTTCAGAATCTAGCACCGGATCGGAAACGCGACCCACAGAGAAGATCCGGCGAGAAACTCGATGGATTGTGTCTATGAGTTAGTTCGCTCTCGTAGAACTCTTCGTCGTAAACCGATGAGAGGACGGTGATTGGCGCTTGATGAGCCTAAAATCACCAATCACACACATGGATATTTAGCCTCAAAATTAGGATTCCCTGTATTGTGGGAACCTGAGACTGGTATTAAACATCCAGACAATGGAATTGTCAGGGATTACCAGGTATTGGAACTGAACCCACGACCAGTTTAAGAGAAAGTAGAATTTGAACTGGCGTAGATGGACATTTCCTATCTTACAGACAGGATGTAGGGTTTGCTCAGCGGGAGAAATTGCAGAATTCTATAACGGAACCGAACCGTAACATTTTGAAATCAATAGGGTTGGGTAAGACAATTCTTGCACGATATAAACAAACTTTAATATCGGCGCGGCGGCGCTCAAAAATCTTTAAAAGGTATAACTTTTTAAGTTATTGCATAGCTTTTATCGCGGGCCTTGAGCGCGGCGACCGAATCATGAAATTCCGTAACGAAAAAAACCTAACACCCCTCACTCCGCCTACCATGTAGCTCGCGTTCAACACATTCCCACGTTGCGCTGTGTAGTGTTTGTGAATAAGCGCGTGGCGCGACGTCACACTGCATGCGCATCATGAAAAGTCTGCCCATCTCTCTCCCTCGCGCGGTCTAGCTTATGAGTGTGAAGGGGACAGTTAAGGTTTTACTTTTATTAATGGTAATAAATAATATTAATATAGTCTTGTTTTATTTTTGTTTTAATATTAAATTATCATTGTCTAATTATAATTGCATAAGTTGATAAAAAATGATATGCAATAGCTTTACCGCGGCAGTTCTCGAGTGCCACACGTTTTTTTTTCTTAAATTCTTTTGGGTGTTCTTGTGCAATTTACGTGGATAATAAATTAGTATGAAGAAGAGAATATGATAATTGGGATATCAACATGCCAACTATGATTCATTTGTTTCAAACAGTAGGTTACGTTATTCGGAATGCTAAAAGATAAAGCACTTATCAATTGAGAAACATTTCAAATCTGATGACTGGGATAGTTATTGTCAAAGACCAAAGTGTTGGTGAGTGTCATTAACAAGTCTGTGAGAGAGAGAGAGATAGCAAGATGCTCCCACCACACACATACATTTTATAATACAACAAAATTCAATACAGATTACCCAAAAAGGTTTCATTTTAATGGCGCGCCGGTCGCTGTTTCGTTTAAAATAATTACGACATGTGACAACCCTATTTTAGGGTCGTGCACTCGCGTTACATAATCACGCTTGCACCATACGCGAAATTTTCTTCGCGTAAATTATCCTTTCTTCCCTTTGACGCTGGTGTGCGTACCCCTTATTACCATCGTTTGCTCGCCCGGTTACGCTGGCATAACCCTCTGGGTTATCAGCTTAGGTAGAAAAAAAAACCTTCATTTGTTTTTCTAAGCGACAGCCTGTCCACCTGTCAGTTGTTATGAAAATATACGCGCCGAGTCTAAGTCGGAACGTGTTTTATGTCGTTTACAAACAATGTTATTTTTATCATTTATACTACTACTAGCTGATTAAGTTCCGTGACGTGTTTGTTAGAATATTTTTCTTATTTACAAAACATTGAGATTTGAAATTGGAAGCTGATTTAACTTATTTAGAAATAAAGAAGTTTTTATGTTTTGTCAACGTTACCGGTAAAATAAAATTAAGCTACTACTAACTTTTATAATAGAAATTGATTATTTTAGATTTATGTACAATGTATATTATCGAACGAGAATATTCTCTATGCTGTCCAATATAGCTGCCAAAAATACCTATACCGGTTACCGGTCCATATATGGTTGTGAATTTAATTAATTTTATCTATATTGGAGTATGTAAAAATTTTATATTTAATTCAAAGGTCATTCAAATTCCATGGCGTTCAAAGCTATAGAATTGTCAAGTGGTTTCTTCATAAAAACTTTGGGTGGTTGGCCTTGGATGATGAAAATCATTATCGCCCACGTGGCCCCACGTCTGACATTTTTTCTGTCTTTCTAAAAAACGTACTTTTCTTTGCAGTCGTATCCAAACTGTGATAACGTCAACGCATCACTGCCACAAGCTATTTCGTTATAACAATAAGCTTAGAACGTATTGTTTGTTTGTAAAGAGATTTAAAAAAAAAAAGCACAGAACTCGCTCATTGTTGTATGGATTTCTTTGTGCAAATACATAAATCCTTTTTTTTTATTGCTTAGATGAGTGGACGAGCTCACAGCCCACCTGATGTTAAGTGGTTACTGGAGCCCATAGACATCTACGACGTAAATGCGCCACCCACCTTGAGATATAAGTTCTAAGTTCTCAGTATAGTTACAACGGCTGCCCCACCCTTCAAACCGAAACGCATTACTGCTTCACGGCAGAAATAGGCAGGGCGGTGGTGGTACCTACCCGCGCGGACTCACAAGAGGTCCTACCACCAGTAAATTCTTTACGTATATCACGAATAAGACATGTTGAACGAAAGATCCTTGCGGGAAAATAAATTTGTTGAATTAATAATATCGTTTTTTTTTTTATTGATTAGATGGGTGGTCGAGCTCACAGTTCACTTGGTGTTAAGTGGTTACTGGAGCCCATAGACATCTACAACATAAATGCGCCACCCACCTTGAGATACAAGTTGTAAGGTCTCAAGTATAGTTACACATTAAGTATAGTTACGCATTACTGCTTCACGGCGGAAATAGGCAGGGTGGTACCTACCCGCGCGGACTCACAAGAGGTCCTACCACCAGTTTCGTGAATTTTGCTCCAGGATCAAATAACTACATGATCTGAATTAGCAGCAGAGTTGTGCTGTTATTTCCATTATTAGGTCACTTGGTCGGATAAATAATAAATGAGCCTTCACAACTCTGAAGAAAAACTGCGACTTTTGTTTATTGGACGTAACTATAACAGTTATCCACTATTAACTATAATTATTAATTATTAGTTATCCCGTTGACTGTGTAGAACATGCCACCGACCTCAAGACATGAAGTCTGTCTCAACATTATTATGACAAAGCCTATCATTCCACTCTCCAAACCGATAGACATATTTACATTCAATTGCGGCGATCAATCTTATCGCGGAATCGAGGCGAGCCGAGTTTTACGAGTGCCCGTCGATAAAATATAACACGGTGACGTCATCACACTCCGAGTACCTACCGACAATGTTTAGTGCAGACGATGACGTAACTATGCAGCAAACAAAACGTTAAGGAAACCACATTTAAAATTCATTCGGACGATGTTTCCTTACTTTAAATATGAATACTTTATTTCTTCTATCGGAATAGTTTAAATATTACTGATAGTCGATTCTTACTTGCGCGATAAGACAGTCTATTTTGTTTTTTTCGTACTACGTTTGCATCTTTTTACTTTTGGTGCGTAGTTTTTTTTTATTTTATTTTTATTGCTTAGTTGGGTGGACGAGCTCACAGCCCACCTGATGTTAAGTGGTTACTGGAGCCCATAGACATCCACAACGTAAATGCGCCACCCACCTTGAGATATAAGTTCTAAGGTCTCAAGTTTAGTTACAACGGCTGCCCCACCCTTCAAACCGAAACGCATTACTGTTTCACGGCAGAAATAGGTAGGGTGATGGTACCCACCCGCGCGGACTCACAAGAGGTCCTACCACCAGTAATTACGCAAATTATAATTTTGCGGGTTTTCATTTTTATTACACGATGTTTATTCCTTCAAGTGGAAGTCAATCGTGAACATTTGTTTAGTACGTATTTCATTAGAAAAATTGGTACCAGCCTGAGATTCGAACACCGGTGCATCACGCTCAACACGAATGCACCGGACGTCTTATCCGTTAGGCCACGACGACTTCTAGTTAAGCAAACTCTTCTCAACTCTACGGGTACTATAATATAGCGAAAGACCGCGAAAGAATTTTCGTTTGGACCACAGTCGGTCTTTATAATTTTTCACTATCCTCCTCCTCCTCCGTGCGTGGTATTCCTCAGTGCTGAGGGTCGTGACCTTTACGGAGCACTTTTGTTAGGACTATGTTTCTCCATTCACTCCTGTCCTCCGCGCAGTGGATAGCGACATTGATGCTGGATTCCAAAGTCGTTTTAATCTGATCGGACCAGCGCATGGGACTACGCCCCCTAGGCCTCTTTCCTTCCACTTTGCCGGTGATGAGAAGTTTTTCGAGATTGTCACCTTTTTTCCTCGCAACGTGGCCGAAAAACTAAAATTTTTAATATTTCTATTTTCACTATACGGAATTTTTAAAATATTATTATTATTCGAAATAGGGGTATACAAAGAAGTGAATATGAAACTGCTTAAATTTTATACAGATGACGCTATTAGGGCCTCCTTCACAAGTACCGAATTAACGTACAAAAGAGAAACGTTGATAGAAAAATATGTTCGTAACATGCTCATAGAAAAGTGCCGTCAGATTTTACAGTTACAGTTTGGGGTTCCGCAGTCAGATCAAAAAATTAAATCGAGGTTTTCTTTCTTTTTTTAACAGGAACACCACCTCCAGAGGGCGATATCGGGCTCCGGACTCATTATACCAACGCCAGAGGTATGCCAAGTGATCGACCTCGAGTTCTACGAGAGATGTTACCCGCCGGATTACAAAATGCCCAAGCAGCACATACATATGCAGCGTGAGTAACGTACCCATAAAATGGTCGTATACTGTCACTCGAATTTTTTTTGTTATTATGGGCAAACGTATCGTTATTATACGGACGGAATAAACTATTAGAACAAGCGAGAAGTGGCACGTTCCAAATTGGGCTAGCTCTTACTTGCATCATCAGTGTGTCTGTGACCTCGACGAATGATAAACGCGTCGAATAAAAAAATTAATGTTTAAACTTTAATATATTTCGGCGTCACCAAACTCGGAAGTTCCCGTGGGAAATGTTCTATTGATTTACGAGGTAATACATATAACCACATGAACGTTAGGTCACTTAAAACCGCTGACAATGGCTTGTTTATACATACGTTTTACTATAGAGATACAGTAGTATACAATACTATAAAATTACCTGACTGACTGACAGACCATGCACTGTGTATAAACGGTGGACCTAAAGATTAGATAATTGAAGAAAAGATTATGTAGCTTAGTAACGCAGTTGGGGATTTGGGGTGAAATGAATAGGGATATTTATTAGAATTCGTTTTTTTGTATTTCGTTATGGTATACCGAAAACAGTGTAGGTGATAATTTATAGTTAGATTTATTTTGTAACGTGTTGCAAATGATGTGACAAAAAAAACCAGCAGCGTAACGACAAGTTCTTTTATTTGTGCTAGAAAGCAGAAAGCAGGTAGAAACATGACTTTTTTTATTAACACTATCCCCCCTTCGTTGGCTTTGGCTAGTGGCAGTGGCGGAAGGGGGCGTGTTAACATGACTTGGCGGCATAGCTGGCGGCAGGGCATGGCAGCTGACGTCACGTCCGTTACAAATTAAAAAAAATGTGAAACCAAGCAAGAATATGAATCCAATTTCACAAAAAAACATTAATTTATTATGATAACATTTCAGTTTGGATTTTGTGACTGCACTCCCTGGTGTTTGTTTTTTTTTTTTTTATTGCTTTGGTGGGTGGACGAGCTCACAGCCCACCTGGTGTTAAGTGGTTACTGGAGCCCATAGACATCTACAACGCAAATGCGCCACCCACCCTTCAAACCGAAACGCATTACTGCTTCGCGCGGACTCACAAGAGGTCCTACCACCATTAATTACACAAATTATAATTTTGCGGGTTTCATTTTTATTACACGATGTTATTCCTTCACCGTGGAAGTCAATCGTGAACATTCGTTGAGTACGTAATTCATTAGAAAAATTTAAATGTTAAATCTTTGATTGGCTTTGCTTCACGAGCAAAGTGACATGACTTTGCTTTATTTTTTTATCATCAAATGTGCCAGGCCTGCGTGCATACGGCCCGTTTGACGATTAGTGGTTAACGTTGACAATGGTCATCAGAAACGTCACAGACACAGCTAAGATTTGAAAGGCACGTGCGTCGATTCTCAAATAAAGTCATTGTCATGCGTGGGAAGCACTTCCATTATTCCAAGGAGAGGAAGGAACCCTCGCAACTGTGCATCTAAATTTTTTTAGTTGTTCGTTTGAATACTCTAATAATTACTGGACATCGTTCTCGTCGAACCCGTGGCTTGCGACGAAGGACTCTGCGAGTAAATTAACACACAGACACAGCCCAATGAGTTAGCAATTCGTTGGTAGATTCTGCGAAGCACTGCTCTTGCTACCGCTAGTGTTAGCAACGTATCAGGTTTGAGCCCCGTGAGCTCACCTACTAATTTTCCGAATCTGGTATAATCCCTAGAGGTTACTAGAATAGGTAGGAACAATAATCTACATATTATTATATAAAAATGAATTTCTGTTCGTTTGTCTCGTTCGTTTTGAAGTCGTCGTGGCCTAACGGATAAGACGTCCGGTGCATTCGTGTTGAGCGATGCACCGATGTTCGAATCTCAGGCGGGTACCAATTTTTCTAATGAAATACGTACTCAACAAACGTTCACGATTGACTTCCACGGTGAAGGAATAACATCGTGTAATAAAAATCAAACCCGCAAAATTATAATTTGCGTAATTACTGGTGGTAGGACCTCTTGTGAGTCCGCGCGGGTGGGTACCACCGCCCTGCCTATTTCTACCGTGAAGCAGTAATGCGTTTCGGTTTGAAGGGTGGGGCAGCCGTTGTAACTATACTGAGACCTTAGAAATTATATCTCAAGGTGGGTGGCGCATTTACGTTGTGGATGTCTATGGGCTCCAGTAACCACTTAACACCAGGTGGGCTGTGAGCTCGTCCACCCATCTAAGCAATAAAAAAAAAAAAGTCTCGCTAAAACTCGAGAACTGCTCGACCGATTTGGCTATTTTTGGTCTTGAATTATTTGTGGAAGTCCAGAGAAGGTTTAAAAGGTAGATAAATATGAAAATGCTCGGAATTAAATAAAAATAACAATTTTGTTTTCCCTTTGATGTGTTGTCCCCCGTCGGACGGATTCCTTGTGTTTGTTTTAAGTTTATTTTATACAAAAGTTTATGTTTTTTATTTATCGATTGAGGCACTACGAAGTCTGCCGGGTCAGCTAGTAATAATAAATAAATAAAGTTTGTAACCTTGATTCGTCTCTAAATAGTTCTCGATGATCGTATACTTTAGGTACTGTACTGTGAACTTCTATCAATAAATTAACACCTCGGACCGCGTAAACATATATACGATTAGTTTAGTAACGCAACGGCGCCATCTAGTTTCAGTGTGGCGTAACGCTTTGATCCTATACGAGTTGTTTGTTGATTTTCATCCTCGCACTTGAAGCGTTAAAGTATCAAGAGAATATGACAAGACGTTCTCGGGTGTTGAGAGCCGGTCCCGCCTCGAAATCCGATGCATGTTACTCGACTAAGCTCCTTAAGTATAACCACCAATATTGATGCATAAAAATATAGTTTCTTTAGACGTTTTGTGGTCTTGTTAGCGTTTTTTTTTTTAGATTCTGACGGGATATGGCTTCTTCAAACAAAAGTTATTCCTTGTCGTTTAAGATCGTTAATGCTTTATCGCCTCAGGTGATCCGATCGCTATTTTGCTTCGAGTAGAATCGATTGCTAACTGCCTTATTTTTTTTTATGATGGATGAATTACTGGTGGCCCGGAGGCCTTTCCACTTTCACCAGGACAGGTAGGCAAGCAAAGGCTCAGCCAGAAGGGGTGGGAATTGATAACAGCTGCCCGAGCGCCTCCAAAGGAGACCTAACAGCTCAAGAGCAGCTGCTTCGCGAATGAATCTACTACCGGATCGAAATCGCGACTCGCTCAGAAGATCCGGTGAGAAACTCAGCGGACTGATGCATGGGCTAGGTTGCATGTCGAACTCTTTGTCGAGTTCTACGATTACGGTTACCGGAGTCCCTCAGCCTGTTCCAGTGTTAGAGCTGAAGGCGTCTAATGCAAAAGATCTGATAGATCCGTAAGGACGTGCCTAGGGCAACTGTGTTCATGTCATCTCTGCAGCGCTTTTATAGTCGACACGACAAGTCTACAATTCCCGAGGACATTCTCGATAGGAAGATTCGTTTTGATATGCGTTTCTGCTATTTCAAAATAGATGGTGTTGCACTTATCGAGTGCTCTCGATATTATTAGTTCTTTTGATGTTCGTTTCTGCTTTTTAATGACAGATGGCGTTACTCTTACCGGTGTAACAATACCCGATCTCGAGGTGATCGCCGGAAACATTCGTGCAAACACAAACACAGAGGTTTTTGTCATGATTATTATTGGCATCATAAATACATAGTACAGCAAGCTACATAGCTTGGTGGTAAACTTACATAGGTTTACTGCTTTACAATCATAAATGGTCCGTGTTAAATGGTAATTGTTTTTTTTTTACAATTCTCACCTCTTCTCAGTTTCTGCCCAAGCGACCTAATTCAGTTTACATTGAATCCCACCACAATACGGAGATGAAATTTGAAATTTGAAAAACTTTTCTTTCTTTGGCTGGTCTAAAACTCGTTATTGTAGGGTCTTTTCGCAGCCGTGCTTCCTGGCTACATTGAAGTTACGACGGTGGGAGTGATTGACTTACCAGTCTCAACCAAAAGTTTCATATTTGTATTTCAATACAATATATCAACAGTTGCGACAGGATTGGAGCATAAATCCACAACCCGACTAATCTGCACTTTAAAATATTTGAAAACCAATAATTAGTTCACTTATGAATACAGCCACCGTGAGTGACACTATCTATCCACACCGCGCTCTCACCCCCTATGCCTCTCAATAAACAAATCACGATAATCACCTTTATTCTCTGTGCCATAGAGTTGTTGAATTTATCGAACGCCGCCGGATCGATTGAAAACTACAGTACGTGTATCCTAATTAAATTGCAATTCAATCAGTCGTGCATTCATATAGGGTTGGCTCTCGTCACGGATTCTCTCGCCTGTTTCTTGTTTGCGACTGTTTGTCTAGTTTTGTATGGCTTCAGAATTTTCATTCATACACAACAATAATGTTTTTTTTTTTTTTTTATTGCCCTGGTAGGCAGACGAGCATACGGCCCACCTGGTGTGGTGAGTGGTTACCGTCGCCCATGGACTTCAGCAATGCCAGGGGCAGAGCCAACCCGCTGCCTACCGCTTAATACTTTCCACAAGCCTCGTTTGAAGAAGGACATGTCATAGCGCTCGGGAAACACCGTGGAGGGGAGCTCATTCCATAGCCGGATGGTACGTGGCAAAAAAGACCTCTGGAAACGCACTGTGGATGACCGCAGTGGCTCCAGGTAGTATGGATGAACTCAATGATGATGATGATGTTTATTCGATGGTTATCGAATCTCGAGACATTGTGAGTGAATGTCATGTCTCTTTGTATTTATTTAGACGCTTCAGTTGCTTTCCAGATGGCAGAAATAAATTAAAGGTCTGTAGAGCTTCAGTTTAGTTTAGTAAATTTTAGTTTGAAACTGGTGGTAGGACCTCTTGTGAGTCCGCGCGGGTAGGTGCCACCACCCTGCCTATTTCTGCCGTGAAGCAGTAATGCGTTTCGGTTTGAAGGGTGGGGTAGCCGTTGTAACT